GCCATCGCCTCGCAGCGCAGCGGCCGAGCGCACCGGGCGTCTCTGCTCGAGCCCAGCGCCGAGCACCTTGCTCGAAACTTCCAGCCTCAACTTTCTTGCCCGCGGGGAAAGCAGAAATACCCCGGGAGCTGTTTTCATACAGATTCGACGTTTTGCACCCAGTCTCTTTTAAACGAGTTACGCATCAGCTCGCAAATGCACCTGCGGGTTAGCATGTGTTTAATTTTTGCCAGGCGCACCTACGGGCTTCAGCCTGCTGGGGAAGCTGCTGGGTGTTGCACCGAGACACACGGCCCAGTTTCTTCAGGGTGTTTGGGCGCTACTCTGGTCGGGGTTGGAGACAGCCTTTGGACAATGTGTTGCTCGCAAGCTAGGTGAGAAGGGAGGTGAGCAAGGATGGAGCGGTCTAAATTCACTGCTACTAGGATGTTGGGAGGGGTTGAGAGTGGCTGGCGATGCAGCAGGCCTGCTGCTTTGGCCACCTCTTTCCACTTGAGCCAGAATCCCCCCGGGATGTTCACGCAGTGGTCGTTGAAAGTCTTCCCCCAGCGCCTTTTGTCTAGCGGGTCTGTCCCGCTCTCGCAGAGTCCTCTCTGCTTCCAGAAGTTTGCGCGCCCATGTGTGCGGCCACGTCCTGCAGGTCTTCACCTGTAAGTGGCTTGTTTAGGTTGGATATGGTCAGACGTAGCCATTCCCTTGTCTTAATCTGAAGCTCCTCCATTAGAGCTTCTGGGTGTTTGAGTGTTAACTGTGGAGTGGTAAGGACATAAGCAACACTGGAACTGGATGGCAACTGGCTTGTGACTTTCAAAAGCTAGTGCTTAAAAGAGCAAGTGCCTCCGGTTCAAACACTGTCTCTGGTTCTTCCTGTACTCATTTGACCTTTTTGTGGTTGCAGTACACTAGTTCATGAACTTAGTTTTTTCTCTTGGGAGAAGCTACACTTAAAATGTTGTTGATGGCTGTATTTTATTTCACATAGGCTCCTGTTTTAGGACCCGTCCCAGAAGAGTGGAATTTGTCAAAGCCAGTGGGAAATTTGCTGGTAGCCCTCTGTTACAGGAGCTAGGCACTGAAGAGTGAGATGTTGTAGGTCCTGTTTCCAAGTTGTGTACGTTGATGTCTCCTCTCCGCATGGGCCCTTCTGGAAATTTTACCTTAAAGTAGGAAAGCTGTTTATGAAGTATTTTCTAGTTCTTCTACTCCACAGCTTTAGTTCAGAAATGCTATCAAAGGAAACTTACAGTAAAGAGAAGGCAAAATGTAAGGGTGCAAATGGGTCAAGAATAGCATCGTGATTACGTTACCCTGAAAATGAAACTGAGGGTGATGAAAGGAAGGTGAACTGATCACGTTTCCTATTATGCAGTCCTTTCATGTGTGTTACTCTCTCAGATTAAGGCTTCCTTGTAGCACGACTAGGAAATTTGTGTGTTGCCACCGTAGCTGTTGGAGGTTTTAATCAGTGATTAGATGGCATTACAGTAGTGTGATTCTGGAATTGCTAAGAGGTTCATTGCCCCGTAGGGCTCTTGCCTTGCATAGCCTTGCATTGCATGCTCTTCAGCAGCAACTTGTGTTTTTTAAATAATCTGAATGTTAGCACAAGAAAGCAAACCACATTTGTCTGATAGTTTGAGTAGCAGTTAAATTTCCAGAAAAGAACATTTTCTTAGCAGTCTCTTGATGATAGATGTCATTAAGGTCCCTTTGAGAGCCTAGAAAGGCAACAAAATTACGGTTTGTGGATAACTTTTGATACATTCTTCTTCAATGAAATATTCAGGGGAAGAGGAATGGAGTTGTCTGTGCCTTCTCTTTTACAAATATCCTAAAATCATGCAACAGTTCTCTGCAGTCATAATCCCAGTACCGCAGGAGTCTCTCTTGGGACCTGTCCTGTTTAACATCTTTACCAGTGACTTGGAGGAGGCAAAGAAATACACTCTCCTTAAGGTTGCAGATAACCCCACATTGGGGAGGGACTGGTTGATATGCTTAATGGCAGGGCTGCCATCCAGAGGGTAGTAGAGAGGCTGGAGAAATGGTCCGACAGGAACCTCATGATATTTGGCAAGGACAAATGCAAAGTTCTGCACCTGGGAAGGACGAACCCGTTGCAAGGACACTGACTGGGGAGCAGCTCTGCGGAAAAGGCCCTGGGGATCTTAGTGATTAGTTGAATGTGAGCCAGCAAAGAAGGCCACCTGCATCCTTGATTGTGTGAACGGAATCAAAAGTAGTTACTAGGCCTCTCATCCGCACTTCTTAAACCACATCTAGAATACTGTGTCCAGTTTTGCAAGCCCCTTTACAGCAAAGACCTCAGTAAACTGGACTGGGTTCAGTGAAGGGTCCCCAAGATGATCAGCTAGAGAAGAGAAAGCTTTGGGGCAGGAGGGGACCTGACAGTAGCTTCTGAACGCTGTGAGGAGGTTGTTAGGGCATCGAGGGCAGTGGGGAAGGATGAGATAAAATGGATACAAATCGAAACAAGAGAGGTTTGCATATAAGGAGCAATTTTTTTCACTGTGAGGACAGTCGTGCTTTGGAGCAGATTGTCCAGAGATGTTCTGCAGTTTCCATCCTTGGAGATATTCAAGTCCTAACCGGAAAAAGCTCTGAGCAACCTGGTCTGATCCTTTTGACCCTGCTTTGTTGACGAGGTTGGACTAGAGACCTCCCAAGGTCCCCTCCAGCCTGAGTTATTCTGTGCTTCTTGTGATTCCTTCTCTCTTGCCTTAGTCAAGGAGCGTGGAAAGAGTATTGCTATCTTTTCCTTTCTGTACTTTGATATGGAGAAACTTGCCAAAAAGGAAACTTAAGAGAGGAGCTAAAGGAATAAAATGTTTAACAACACCTTATTATTGGGGTAAAGAAATGTAGATTGTGTCTGTCAAAAATATTTTAGAGAAACCAAAAATCTAGTATGATTAAGCAGAAAGAAGCTGTTGAAGGTAAACATGAGGGCCTTAGAAAAGAGCGTAAGTGTTGGTACTTTTGATGAAAAATATATGAGGTAGGCCAGAAAAATTGAGGAAAGACTTGTTAAAGACACGAAATATAGCAGAAGCAGAAAGCATTTCAGAGAGTTTACATAGCCACCAGATGTTGGAAGTGGAAAAGGTATGTTCAGGGACCACAGAAAAGCTAAATTCCTGATGTTGCTATTCCTTTAGGTTGCTGTGTTGGAAGACCTCTTTACAGCAGGCACGTTGGAGAATCCATGTCAAGTTGAAGCATGAGTAGGAGACGTCTCACTTGGTCAGTTTACTTTAAGCAGCAAGTGCTACATGATGAATCTCCAGGAGTTTTAAAGGCCCTCAAATATTAAATTACTGTGCTATGAATTATGTTATAAAACTTGCCACTAATGTGATTTAGGGACCAGATAAGGGTAGGTGAGTAACTGTGAGGTCAGCTTTTAATAAGGACTCTGAGGTAAGGAATAGAGGGATGGATGTTGGGGTGGTTATAGGTCATCAGGTATGGCTTTTGCACTGTCTGCAGTGCTTAAAATTATGTCAAGAAGTGGAACGAGTAGACCTGGATACATGTGATTTTTGTGGCAGAGTCAATGTATGTTTAATAGAAGTGCTGTTTGAAGGAGTGCTGGGCTTGTCAGAAAGCTTTTAGAAAGTTTCCTTTCAGAAACTTTTCACAGAAATTAAACAGCTGTGGACAGGTCTTGAATTAATAACCAATTAAAAGCTTGGATACAGGACTTTGTAGAAGTGACTTGTCATATTCCCCACTGGAGGGAGATAGCTAAGGTCCCACATGAAGCTGTACTGGGGTCTGTGCTGTTCAACACGTCCATCAGTGATGTGGAAAAGAGTGAGCAGTGGTGGTGCTGGTAGTACTATGCTATTCAGTTTGGAAGTGGAAACTGGTGGCAAAGAATTGCAGAATAATTTCACAAAAGTGAGTGGTGGCATGTGCAAGTGGAAAATGCAAGTCAGTGTTGATAAATGCAAATTAACGTTTGGGGAGGAGGAGAAGACAGCCCAAATGATACCTAAAAAGTAATGGGCTATAATATCTATTACCACTTGGAGAAGAGATGCCAGAGTTAGTGTGGGGAGTTCCCTGAAAATGTCCATTCGCTGCTCTGCAAGGCAAATGGAGCGGTAAGAAGGGAACAGAGAACAAAGCGCGACAGCAAATTCCTCATGCTTCTATGGTTTGAGTGCAGCATGCATTACTGGCTTGCTGCTTTCAGAAGGGATAAAGCAGAGTAGTGAAAATGCAGCAGAGATGTGCAGAAGGGTGGAACAGCTGCTGCTCCAAGAAAGACCAAATAAATTGACTTTGCAGCCGGAGAAAGAGCTAGCAGAGATGGAGTTGCTAAAATCCTAAGTGACAGAGAAGGTGAGTGAGGAGTGGTTATTTGTGACTTCTCATAAGGCAAGAGCAAAGGTAGCATCAGGTAAAAATGAACATAAAACAAGTAAAAAGGTAGTAGTTTGGTTTTTTTTGTTTACAGACCGTGGAACTCATTGCTGTTGATGCTTTGAATATTACAGGTAGAAATAATTTAAATGTGATTTGACACTTTTGGAGGAAAAAGTCATTAAGAACCATTAAACATACTGGTATGGATACAGCATTTGTTTCAGGAGGGTCTTAATCCAGAGACTGCTAGGGAACTGTATTGGGCAAGGTATTGTTCTGCCCTAGCCTCTTTTCTTAAGCCACTTGGGAGTTCGGTTGTGTAATACAGTTAAGCCAATATAGCAATCGGCTCTCATGGAGGGGGGAATCTTGCTATGGATTGCATGCTCCCTTGTGCTAGCAGGGTTTAGCCAGGTCAAGACTACTCAATTTTTTTGTAGGGGTAAAAGGGACAACTTGGTGGTTGAACGGTACTACTGTATGTCCCTCTACTGTGACTTGACTCTGCTGTTGGCTTCCTGGTGGTGAAGTGGGGATAGCGTTCCCATTCCCTGTTTTGTCCACTTAACTTAAGCCCTTCATGCATCACCTTTTATGGCATATGTGTATATACAATGGCTAACATACTGTGACTTAAACAATTCTGTAACATTTAAAAAGAAAGGTCTCTTTCTCCAATTCTTGCTGTACTGGAGATGGTTTTGCCTCTAAGCATTCTCCGAGAACGCTGGAACATGTGTAGTGACCACTCTGCTAAATGAGGTGTATGGTGCCTGTCCAAAAGGAGGGATCGTACTTTTAACCTGTTAAGAGGAACAGTGTCTATAATGTGCTCCTCTGAACTATGCTGATATGGAATTTTAATGCCAACTTCTTATACATTTGAAAAATACTTGCAGCTGAGGCTGATGTTATAGCACTATAATTGGGAAGGGCACGCTGTTTTTTCTTTTTATGTAACAAATTTGAGTTTTACAGTGACAGCGTTGAGTCTCTGAGCTGTTGGCTCTTGTGCTGGTGATACACAAATGGCTGCAGACTGGATACTCGCCTTTCTTTTGTCTGTCTAGTTTGTGTGTTTCTGTTTCCCCTTTTTGAAGATAGAACATTTATTTCTAGGGCTATCTTCAGCTTGGCTATTTTTGACATAACCTAGTATATAACCTAGTATTGTGGAAGCAGGGATTATGGACAATTTACAAATGTGCCCACACTTTGTAGTCTTATAGATGGTGTCTTGATTGTAACTTGAATTCCAGTGGAGTGGATGATGGGCACAGGTGGATGGAAGTCCTGTGAATGGATTACTTGAGCTGAACTTTTAACCGGGAGTCCTAGTGGGAAATCAAAACAGGAAGCACTCTCCTTGGGACACATGATGCATGATTTTCAGACAGACTGGTTACTCACAGCAGCAAATTGCTTTCGCTGTGAAATGCTAGAAACGTGTTGACTTTTGTGAAAAGTTGTGATGAGTGTTTAGAAGTGAGATACCTGAAACCACCACAGCTATTTGAGAAGCTTGACTGTAATCTTTCTGTTCTTCCCTGAGAAATGGGGAAGATGTAGCTGTAGTTTTCAAAGGTGTCCTGAAAATAAGTGAACGCTTCTGGAGCAGTCATTTGGTTTCGTGATGGATGCTGATGGACTTCAAAGAAACTGTGGAGTTTGAATTCATATAGTGAGTAAAAATTACAACTAAACATTAGGTAGTTACTCAATATTTCTTCCTATTAACTCCAGACTTTCTTCCTTTCCTATCTGCAAATGCCTTCCGTCTTCTGCCTTGCTCTGACCTCGTAGCTGACCCAGCTTTGAGCAGGAGGTTGGACAAGATGACCTTCTGAGGTGTCTTTCAACCTGAATTACTCTCTGATGATGCCAATGAACGCTGGTCCTGTGGAAAACACCGTGTGTGACCGTGTTGTTAAAGACTGTGAGGCGCAAGGGATGGGCAGACATTGGGTAAAGAGAACCTAATTTCTGATACTTCTGAAGTTGTCGGATCTGGTCTTGGCACAATTGCATTGTTTTAGTTCGGAGTGCTGGCAATCATGCAGCAGTGGATTGACCTGGGTTGGCTGTGACAACTACCATGGCCTGTTTTTCAGCCAGTGCTTATCTTTGCCCCCCAGCAGAGACAACTGAGAGGGACCTGTAGCTGCTCCTGAATCATTTGAGTGTGGTCCTATTAGGCTGAACTTAATTGGCGCTGGCTGACTTTAACAAGCTAGGCTGTGAAGAGCACTGATTGCCTAGAAAGTCCTGCTCATTTATTCCTCCCTGCTTGTCTAATAATAATTTTTTTTTGGTCTGGTCTGCCTTCATTTCTCAGAAAAGTTGTGGGTGGAGAGCTAGTAGGTTATGTCACCTGGTTATGCAGTAGATGAAGCTTGGTTGTGAAGGAGGACAGTTTGAGAGCAGGATTTTATTAATGTCTCCTTAATGGAGAGGTGAAACAGAGTAGGGATGAAATATATTTGCTAAATGCCCCATGTATCAGGCCTTCTATTAAAAGTTGCTAATCTTTTGTTTTTACAAATTTTATTTTGGGAGGAAGACTTGATGTTTCTGTTGTATCAGATATAAAAAATGGAAGTGAAAGAAGCGCTTAGGAAGAGATGCATTTGAATTGCATTTATCTGCAGTACAGATAGAAAGCTCCCAGCCAATGAAAAGGAGAAAAAAGAGTTTAAAAAAAAAAAAAATTTGAAAAAAAGAGAAGAGGAGACAGCAAACTATATGCTGATCGATCTAACTTCAATCCCTAGAAAGGTTCTTGGAGCAGATCACTAAAAAGTTTGCCAGTGTCTATAACATAATAGGATGCTAAACAGCTAATACGGTTTGATATGATCTGTTCTTGTTAAATCTATCTGATTTTGTTTGACAGGAGAGTTGGCCTGTTCCTTAAACAAAAAGGAAAAAAAAAGCACTGGTAGGGTATGATTTCAGCAAGGTTTTTTTAATATGAATTCCCCACGAAGTTCTTTTCTGTCAGCTGAAAATATACATTTTTGTAACATTGTGAGATGCACAGGTGGCCGAAAACCTGCGATTTAGAGCAATTATCGGTGGCTTACTGTCAAACCTGAAGGGCTTTTAAGGCAGTGCTCTTAGCCAGTGGTAGTGAGTTTACCGGTGATGGCAGTGGGGAGGCGCTGCAGTCTGTCTGGAGAGCAGAACTGAAAATTAAGAAGATCTGGGAAAGTTGGAAAGATGGCCTAAAATCATTAAAACAGAAATCTGTGAGTCAATTATGTGTAGCAGAGTGCTATACGTAAAGGGGGAAAAAATTGCATGTAGGAACGCTTGAAAATTACAGATTTAAAGATTGCAAAAAAGAGTCAGAGTAGTCGTGAAGCGCAACTGTGTGAAGCTGCTGTATTTCTTTGGGCTCCGTGGTTTGTTTACACCTTTCAAAAATGCAGCTAAAATTCAATGCAGCGTTCAGGCCTGGAAACTTGCAACCTAGAAGAATAATTATTGCTACAGTTAAGAGGAGTATTGTGTTAAGTACATCTTGGAATGAGGTTTACTGATTTTTTTAATTGTTTTTTTTGTTGTTGTTTTAGCATGATCTGTGAAGAAAGGTTGAAGGAACTGGATTTATTCAATGTAAATGTGAGAAAGTAAGAGGCGATTGTCTCCCAACCCAGGGAAATCTATTACAAGCAAGGTTGTGCTTTATTATAGTTCTTGTCTGCTGGGACTGGAGAAGAACAAAAAAAAATCACCTTTTTTAGTAAAATTTTTAAAGGTGAACATTAGGAAAAACGTAGATAACCACATTTGCGACATGCTCAAATATGCTGCTAAGGAAAGTTTCAGAAACTTTTTGAGAACAGTTTTTGATGCGCTTTTGCCAGGGATTGTTTTAAGCACATTTAATCCTATCCCTGGGAGTGTGGTTGGAGCAGATGAAGTTAGGGCATACCTTCCGCTCTGCGGTCCTAGAATTAAAACCTCACAAATGCGTTTCTTAAGCGGACTAGCACAGTAAATGAAATCTTTAGTAAAGACATCAGCTACCCGGAACTTAATGTTGCAATAGCAAGCAAATTTATCGAGGCGTATGGATTTACCATACCAGAACAGCTGCTCTTCTCATTGTTTCTTACTTCCTGTGCTCAGGCATCAGAATTGGCAAAAGCATTTTATTTTTACCTTTGTTACGCAGGACTTGCCCTGTAATTAAAAGGAGCTCATGCATTTTCTGGATGAAATTTCTTATTGCAGAAGCTCCCACACCCGTGAATCCTGGTGTTCATGATAGGCCGATTCTGGTGCTAGCGTGTTAGGTGCTAGTGCAGTGTTTGCAAGGCAAAGTCCTGCGTGTGTCCTGATCTGTCTTTGGGTATGTTTTAGGACAGCATAAGCGTTGGTACCAAATAACTGTCTGTGGGTGAATGGAGGTTGTCTGAGAAGGGACTGCGGTCCAAGAACCTACCTAATTATGCCATCCTGCATCTTTTCCATGGGTCCCTTGTGTAGGGACTTGACTAATGATGTTAAGCTGTATATAAGTTTTTTTTATTACTATTTTTATTTTACTATTTCTATTACTAATTTGCTTGTTATTAAAATGAATTGCAAAATTTTTGCCATGAGAGAAAGAAGTAGAGTGTTTAAAAGAAAATAAACAGAGTTTGTGCAGAGAACGTGGAAGAGAATTAATGCTCATGATTCATTTGAGAAGCTCTGCTTTAGAATTGTCTTCTCCTTCCCACATGTGACTCATTCAGTTGGTATTACGTCTGTCTCCAAAATCTTGACTAGCTTTGCTGTGTAGAAATAAAAGTTGTGATACTACCATCTTTTTTTTTTTTTTCCTTGCAGAATTTGGTGTTCATTTAGCAGAACTGACTGTAGATCCCCAGGGAGCTCTGGCCATCCGTCAGGTGAGTTTTGCTGAAGCCCTAGAAAGAAGTTACCTAACAATGTAATTGGTTTGTACAATATTCTCTCACGCTTGCAGGTGAGATTTTGAAGGTAGTTTCCCATTATTGCTTCTCCCTTTTCTTTTATATTGTTCTGGGATTGTCACTTTGCACTTGGGACAGTGCTGTACACGCTGGACACGTAGGAGCTTTATTAGGTGGATGATGGGCATCAGCAAGCAGAGATGTGGTTTGTCTTTGCAACAGCTTTTTTTTCTGAAATTCTTTTTCCTTTTGAAAAGGAAGGTTTAAGTTCTATATTTCTTTAGTTACATGCAAATTTTGGCCTTTAGCATGTGCCCTCTTTGACGTTTAGGAGAATAAAGCTGCCTTTTTGTGTCAGTGCTGTGTGAGCCATCGTCACTCAGCGAGTGGCTATCAGTTCATCTTTTTCCTGCAGTAGTGTTTTGTCCATTTCACAAACACTTTTGCATTTTTTTGGCAAGCCCAGTCGCCCCTCTGAAAGCAGCATGGTCCGGTGGGAGGCCGAGCAAACAGGTCGGGGTGACGCTTGCCGTGATTGCAAGATATGTTATTGATTCATGACCTCTCTTCTAATACAGCTAGCGTCTGTCATTTTGAAACAGTATGTGGAAACTCATTGGTGTTCTCAGTCGGAAAAGTTTAGACCTCCAGAGACGACAGAAAGGGTAAGACTTGGTTTCGTGTTGCTTTGTCTACTTTGAGACATTTTATCCAAAGAATATGAATTCTGTGGTTGGTTTAAAAAGTGTCAGTATCTTCTTCATCAATCTTGTGTGTTATGAGAGATTAACAGCTTCAGTTAAGGTTTTCTGACGTTTTCCATTATAGAAGTCTGTTTTCAGTTGCTTAAAACAACGCTAGACTTGAGAAGCTTGGGCTGATTTCTGTAAGAAAAGTTCAGCCATAATGTTTCTGCTGTTATAAGAACAAGAGCAAGGAAAGCTGCTTTGCAGGTTTTCAAAATACAATTCTGGCAGTCATCTTTTGTTAAATCTGGTGTTTTTCAGCTTGGGACTTGAAGGCTAATTTGCCCCATGACAAATTTCAAGTTAAAGATCTATTGGGTTTCGTTAAAAATAGCCACTAAAAATTTGATCCTTTCAATAGAAGTATTTTTTAACAGAAATAGTAGCCAAAGAGTCCAGCTCTTTACTGCTTTGACTGTTGACCAGACCATCTTTTACTTGCCTAAAATAGATCTTGTGAATTAAGTCCCAGATATGCTGAGTTTTTTCTCCTGTCCCTTCAGCGTTGGGTGACTAGTTCTCATTTACTAAAATCTTCCAGAGTAAGCAAACATAGCCCCTGACACTAGAACTGGGATTTATCCCAGCTAAGTCTGGATGTCTTCCATGTAGATATTTACATCCTATCTAATTGCAGCTGTGACCTTGAAAAGGCAGTTTACTCTATGCTTGGCTGAATGTTTTGTATGAGAAGAGTAATACATTACAATAACTGTGCAGTTTTCAGGAATAAATTAAGAGGTGTTCAGATGTACAAGTTTTTGAGGTTTCGTGGATGTTCTTTTTTGAAAAACTAACGTAGAATCTGTATCAGGATATGGTCATGTGTATGCAAACAATTTTTGATGGTAAAATGTCATATCATTGAGGATCTTTTTTTGATAAATAATGTTGTTCTCTACAGGCAAAAATTGCTATTAGGGAACTTCTACCCAATGGGCTGAGAGAATCCATTAGCAAAGTGCGCTCGAGCGTTGCCTATGCAGTTTCAGCAATAGCCCATTGGGACTGGCCTGAAGCCTGGCCTGAACTCTTCAATCTCTTGATGGAGATGCTGGTTAGCGGGGATGTGAATGCAGTGCATGGAGCCATGAGAGTGCTTACAGGTATGTGTACGTGAGAGCTTCGGCAAGGCTGATATAGGAGACCCTTTAGGCTTTTTATTACTCTGGAGTTGTCATTTTCACTGCAAAATGACGAAATTGGAACGTGCTGCTTCGGGTTGGGTTTCATGTCTTTCGGTCACTGCTAAATTCCATTGCTTAGTAGAAGTCTTGAAAGCTGAGGAACAAGCACCGGTCAAATTCTATGCTATGGATCATAGCTTAGAAGGGACTTTCATTATAACACCTTATTTTCTGGGTGATTGCAGTTCTTCATGTTTTTCTGCTGGTCTTCAAGGGTTGCCGTGGGTAGGCCGTACTGCAATGGTCTTGTCAAGTATGAAGCCACATGTTTTCAATGTGTTTAGGGTTATTCAAAGATCGGAGTCTCTGTGTTGTTATTGCCTATGGATTTATTATCTTTATACTAACTTCCCGTATTTTCCCGTTCTCTAGAGTTTACTCGGGAAGTGACAGACACACAGATGCCACTTGTTGCTCCTGTTATTCTTCCAGAGATGTACAAAATTTTTACAATGGCAGAGGTATGGTCTTCGCTATGAGGTTGGTATTAGATGGAATTAGGGAGAATCTTTCTTGGCAAGGGAGAGCTGGGCAAGGACTCCTGCAGGGGACCTTGACTTAACTTCTCCTGGGAAGTTCTAGCTAGGTGGGGCTGCTGCTAACGAGCTCTCTGGGCTGCCCTGGTCAGAGGGAGTTGGGGCTTTTGTTTCAGGTGGCTCCTGATTGGGTGGGTCAAGCACCCTTGTGAGTCACTGCTAGGCAGAGGCCTATATAAGAGCGCAGCCCCCAGAGCACAGCCCCCAGAGCGCAGCGAACAGACACAGCAGTTTGCGCAGCAGTTTGCGCAGCAGTTTGCGCAGCAGGGCGCCAGAAGGCAAAGAAGGCATCTCTCCATTTTGCACATTTTGCACAGTTTCCCCAGGCATGGTCATGACACGCCGCAGAGCACGTTCCCCAGTGGC